TTCAATATTATCCAGCACATGCAATTATTAGTTCAGCTAAAGTACTTACATCATCTACTCATAATCTTTACTTAATTTATGCGTAATTACTTATCATACATGTTTTCTTGTTTCTCTTAGTCATTAGTTCAATATGACATATCCGGTGGAGAATAAAATTCTAAAAAAGATCAAAGTGCCTCATAGGCTTTCAAATTTAAATTTAACATCTCATTTAGAGATGCTCTAATGACACACCCCGACCGAGATCAAGGCATGCTAGCCGTCACGTGAGGGTGACGTAGCTATGTGCACAGTGCGGAAGCAATGAAGATAAGAACTATATAAATAATTAAAAACCGAAACTACTAGAGTGCACTACTAAACATGAAGTGTTAGGAGTAAGATACAAAAGTAAACACTCCTAATCATAGCATATAGAGTCTAGATGCAGTCCAGCAGGACAAGTACTAATTATACAGTACCATAAGATGTCCTACAATTATTTAGATATGTCAGAACAGCCGAGGTCCTCGCACCCAGCAACTGCAAACTTACCTAAAACTTGGAGGGGCGTAAAATAGAAAACGTGAGTGGGCAAACCAAATGTTTTACAAAACCATTTCATTTATCAACATATCTAACCCTTCGCTATAAAACATGTATAATTTTTCCCAGAATCAAAATATATGCATATACATAAATATATATGAAATTATATCAATTCAAATCATACTTCACATAATCATATTCATATGTATGCCATGCCAATATATAACAGAGTAAGTAATTCAGGTGAGAATAACTTCATAAAAATATGACATATTAGCCGGAACCCTTGTGGTAGTTTGTACAGCTGAATTCATAGCTCAAAAGTCAATCTAGCCGGAGTCACTACAATGACCTATACGACACTATACTGCACAAGAGTTGGAACCAAATGAAAAGGTCTGTAAGACAATACTAGGTGTAATATAATTATGCTAAATACTACTCTCACATAATAGCTGGGCGATAAATCGCTAGTCACCTACGAGTCAGATCCATAGTAAAGGTCTGTACGACAAGATTGTGCACCTAAATTGGATTCAAAATGAGCATATGGTGCGAGAGGTGACATTATAAACAGGCCTGTGCCATAACTCTGGCTAAATCACAATCACCCTAGGTGCAGTTTTATGAGCTCAACGTTATTCAAACATAACTCACCTGGGCTTACCTGAGCATCCACAACACCACAATTATATATAATGCATCATATACCAATTCATATACGAAATATAAATTCATATGCAAGGCATTCAAGGCATAATCTCATTTAAACATATTTTTCTGGGAAAATATCAAGTATATAAATATATACTGAAAATCAAAAGCCCATTCACTGATATGTCGAAGGGTCATAGCCCCCGAGTCGCCCTTGAACACACTTGTCCTCAGGATAAGTCTCACCTATATGCAAATTAACTATAAAAACGTTATATAAAGCACATAGGCAAAATTAGCTAATAACTTCTCATACAATGCTCAATTTTGGTATTTGAATATACACAGTGACCTACACAACTCCACGAACATCCTCATATTTTTAGAATAATTTTCTGACCACCCACGCGCCGCCACGCGCAGGCCAAGGCATGGTAATACGTGCCCCCACGTGTGGCCACGTGACAGGCATACTGACGGCATCAGTTAACGCCTTCAGGAATATTTCATCAAATAGTAACGGAATCTGTTAAATTTAACTGACGCCGTGGAATATTCTGTCATCCCTAACCTTGAACCTCCAACGACCGTCACCGGCGCCGGAAACTGGGTAAAATTTTAAAACGCTTATTCTCCTTCGTTTCTTCACCATTTTTCATAAAATTGGTACCAAAATGAAGCTAATAACATGTAGAATCATGTTATATAAGTTTCAAGGCTTAAAATCTACTAGGTTTTCCCTGAGAAAGCTCGATAGTTCCGCTTACCTAGATATACGTCGATCTTAGCCCTCTGACGTCCAATTCCTTCCAACGAAGTACCCTGAGACTCATGAGGACCTCCTTAAGCTTCCTATAAGCTTCAAATTCCCTGAAACACAAGATTTCACGTATGCATGAACAGTGACAAAATCGGAGCTAGGGTTTCCACGTGAAATCGAAGGTTTCCTTACCTGAAAATTGAACCTTTGAACTCGTATTGTCCTCACGAACACAATGGTGATCTTAAAACCTTCGATCTACAAGGTTTGAGAGGGTTTCTGGGTTGGTCCGTACGAAAAAGGGAGAGAGAGAGAGAGAGAGAGCACGGGAAAGAGAGAGAGAAAATGTGGGTGTGTGTGTGGTCCAAAAGCCACCAATCAAAACTAAGAAAAGTCTTAGTTCTAATTGGATCACCAATCTAACACAATTTAACCCAATAATAATTCACAAACATCAATTAACGTCCGAGGACAATTCTGTCATTTTACATCATCGACAATAGAAGTTCGGAACGAGCTGTGACATCTAAGAAGCTGCTAGTAATTTTCCTAGCAATGTGAATGAGTTGCAATACATTGATTAAATAATGTGTCAGACATAAAACAACCGCAAAGGCAAAAGCAAAGCTAGCTCTATCGTTTCATGTAAAAAAAAAAGCCAAATCCACTTGAGGTGATTTCTTTTTAGGGTAATACTAGGGAGACTAAATTTATACATAAAATTTTGTAAATTAAATGACATGAAAGTTGATGATTGGATTATTACTCAAGTGTTAATAAATGTACTCATTCTTATTGATGACATATCATTTAGTTTGCAAATTTTGTCTACAAATTTAATTTTACTAGCATTACCCTTCTTTTTAAGGAATCTTATAAAAGGGTCATTTTCATTTCACTATCCTTAAGTATTGTTCTACCAAATAAAAAAAAAAACGAAAGTAAAGCTATTTCCTCTATTGCAAGTCCAGTCGAGGTGATTTTTTTTCCAAAGCATGTTATAAAGAAAGCTGGGGCTAAAATTAGGTTGAAAAAGAGAAAAGAATCTGTTTTTTTTTTTTTTTTCTTCTCAAAATCATAGGTCATTGGCAACATAAAGCAAAAGCAACTCAAACCACGGTCCCTTCCATTGAAAGCGCTCTTTCTAATATATTTGGACTCTATTTGCATTCATTTATTTATTGTTTTTTGTTCTAAATATATTTATTACAATTATAAAAAAAATAAAGTAATAAATAATAATTCAATTTGACATATCCGGTGGAGAACAAAATTCTAAAAAAAATATCAAAGTGCCTCATAGGCTTTCAAATTTAAATTTTATGCTTAAATTTAACATCTCATTAGATGCTCTAAGGAGGTGCTAGGAATTTTCCAAGCAATGTGAACGAGTTGCAATATATTGATTAAATAATGAGTTAGGCATAAAACAACCGAACAAACAAAAGTAAAGCTAGCTCTGTCGTTTTATGTAAAAAAAAAAAGCAAGTCCACTTGAAGTGCTTTCTTTTTAGGGTAATGATAGAGAGACTAAATTTATAAATAAAATTTTGTAAATTAAATGACATGAAGTTTGATGATTGAGTTATTACTCAAGCGTTGATAAATGTGCTCATTCCTATTGCTGACATATCATTTAGTTTGCAAATTTTGTCTCTTTAGCATTACCCTTCTTTTTAAGGAATCTTATAAAAGGGTCATTTTCACTTCACTATTCTTAAGTATCGTTCTACCCAAAAAAAAAAACAAAAAAACAAAAAAAAAACCAAAACAAAAGTAAAGCTATTTCCTTTATTGCAAGTCCAGTCAAGGTGATTTTTTTTTCCCCAAAGCATGTTATAAATAAAGCTAAGGCTAAAATTAGGTTTGAAAAAAAGAAAAGAATCTGTTTCTTTTTTTCTCGAAATCTTGGGTCATTGGCAACATAAAGCAAAAGCGGCTTAGACCATGGTCCTTCCATTGAAAGCACTCTGATATTTTTATATTTTTCTTTTTATATTTTTATATATTTGGAGTGCCAATAATGCCACTGATATCTTTGCGAAAATCTCATTCATATTGGCAAATGGCGTTTTACCACAATAGTGAAAAACAATCATGTTTATGCACTCTGATGTGGGTTCGATTCTCACCGATTCATCTCTTTCTAACAACTAATTATTTAACCCACTAACGTAATCGTTCAACTTCAAACAATACATGATCGGCCCTGCCTGTCACAGTCCACACTTGTTTTTGCATTAATAATACAACTTATAATATACATTTATAATTAATTTAGGGAATTATTATTAGCATTCCAAAAATCTCATTCTACACTCCTCACAAGTGTATTTTTCTTTCTAATTATAAAAAGTTTGAAGTGCAAAATGAGATTTTTGGAGTGTCAAGAACAATTCCCTTAATTTATTTAATGTTTAATAAAATGGTAGAGAATAATTAATTCCCACTCGTGCTTAAGTAGTATCTTTGTTCTATGGTTGTTGTGATTGTGTGGATTTCAAATCTTCTGCACTTATTTTGTGTACGGTTTCTATGTGGCTTTTATCATTGATTGATACGTGTCCATAAATATAACCCTCCTTATCTGTATTGTCATAAACTTAATATGTGTTGATAAATGATGAGGTCACGGAAATGCCACACACAAAATGAGTGCAGAAGCTTTGAACTCGATTGTATAAGTCTCATGCTTAATGATAATTCAATATTATCCAGCATATGCAATTATTAGTATAGAAAGTACTTATATCATCTACTTCTAATATTTACTTAATTTATGCGTAATTCCTTATCATGTGTTTTCTAGTTTCTCCTAGTTATTGCCTACCGAAACGTTTGAGATGATCGGATTGTTCTTAGTTGAGATTGAGATTGATGTGGGATCAAAAGGTTTCTAGTCTAAGGGTTGGAAAACTCTTGGAGAGAGTTACGGTGAAGAGGTTTGATGAATTAAAGTGGGAAGCCCTTCTTTTCTTTGAACTTTGTGTTCTGAGTGGTTGCCTCTGCTTCTCTTACACAGGAAACTAAGGAGCTGCTACCAATTTTCCACATGCAATGTGAATGCGTTGTTGTATATTCGATTAAATAACGAGTTTGGCATAAAGCCATCGTCCAAACAAAAGGAATTTAATTGGCAATATGAAGAGTAGTTTAAGATCATATAAACCCTTAGGTAGACTTGTCCGTCGCCGATGTGGGATAAACTCCCCACACACCATCAACTCTCAACACGACCTCACACGTGTGGTCGATTTTTAACCCTAGACATGGACAATAAATGGGTGACACATAAGCAAAGTGTGACCCTTTTGAGCTTTCACACGAGGAACAACATGCTCCGATACCATGATGAAATTGGAGTTCTACTACAAAACTAATTGACAATGTGGGGAATAATCCAAAATCGTATAAGCCCTTAGCTAGACTTGTCCCTTATTGATGTGGGACAAACTCTGCACACACCATCAACTCTCAACAATCCGGGGAGAAAATTTGCAGAGAGGCTGAGAAAATTGTTTGGGAATTGAAACCTGGAGCAGGAATTGGGGTTGTTGATGAGCTGAAGCATTGCTGGACTTGGCATCAATGACGATGGTGCGGTGTAGAAGAGCGGTGGTTTCTTTTCTTTCTTTGTTATTTATTTTTTTGAAATAATTTTATCCTTTATTTTTAATTGTTAATTCTTATTTTGTCATTTTTTTTAATGTTTTAATTGTTTCATATGTTCATTGCACAATTATTGTCCATGAGAGTGTCATGTTACACTTTAACGTGTTTTGACGTAAAAGCTAACAGAAGTATAAGAGGGTCACAAAATCTAAACTTTAGGTTTGAAAGGATTTGCTTTTACTTCTTGTACAAGAAACGATAGAGTAGTGGACTTGCTTCGGCAATAAAGGAATTAGATTTCCTTTTGTTTGGACAGCAGCTACTTAGTTCCCTATATAAGAGAAGCAGGGGCAGCCACTCAGAACACAAGTTCAAGGACAAGAAAGCCTCTCACTTTTAATTCATCAATCTCAACTAAGAACAATCCGATCATCACAAAGGTTAGAAGTTAAATAACACAATTATTTATCACACACACCGTATATTAGCAGGAAATAATGGTGGCATACTCGCAATCTCCAAATTCATGTTCATGTAAATGCCCGGCCACCTACACTTGGGCCATGGAGAATTTATGGTGTCAAACAAATTCACTTATCTTCTTTCCTTTGTGATCAATTTGTGTTTTTTCTCTCTAATTTTTTCTTTTAATTTCTTGTAATCTTTGCACCATTTCGAGTTGTTCATGGGTGTTCATTTTTTCATAGGGTTTTGATAAAATGTATAACAAAGCTTCAAAGTGCCTCCAGAAATTATAAAGGTCTTACCGATTGTACATGCTCTTAGGATTGCAAAATGAAGGACAAGAAGGACAAGTCTTGGTATCGCTTAGGTGCATTTGTTGCTGGTGCTGCTACAGGAATTGGTCTGCTGGCTTGGGGTTTATCTGCACTTGCTTCATCAGCTGGTTCAGAGTCAGAGGAAAAGAAGAAAACAATGAAAGCTCCTGGAAAAGATGAAATCATAGAGAGGGAAGAGTTTGAGCGTGATGATAGTATTAAAAGCACACCACAAAGTAGCACACAAATATCCTATTAATTTTCCTTATTAACACTAGGATTTGTCAATTGTAGCATATGAAAATAAGGGTCTTTCCCGCAGAAGATTGTTTTATCTAACTACTTAAAATGTCACAAAAACTGGTTGGTCCCTACTGACCAGCCACCAAAAAATAATTATTAGACTGACTTACACTGGTCTAAAGTCTATGAAATTTTATATGCAAATACTAGACACACAGTACGACAGTCTCACAAATGTTTGGGATTTTTGGAGTTGATTTGCTATTTAAATTAAATCGTACAAAAACAGTACAGAAACAGATTTTGAGTAGATCACAAGTTTAAGAAAAACGAGTTAGGGGAATTGTTATCCACCACCAAATAATCATGCAAACATGCTATGTTTCATTCAAATTCCTTTTATTTCCGGATGAAGATGCTCAAGTTGGCTCAATGTTAGACCACAACCTATTACTCTTTCTTACGTAGTATGTTAATCGAATGGCATTTTCAACTTAACGTAGTCCCTAGCATGCAATCTAGAATGGCATGTTCATAGATTTAACAAGTAGAAATCATTAAGAACGAAAAGAGTTTGAGTCATCACAAGGCATGGTAAGTACTGGCATTGTCTTACTTATCCTAGAAATTGGTTCACATGTTAATCGCAATTAACAAGTACTACTCTAGAACATATGTAGGTCCTCATTCAACAAGGGCAGGCATACATATATTCATAGCATTTGAATCCTAAATATGCTTACTAAGTATGCATCCATAGAAAACATATAAAGAATTCATCACTGACATAAGTACCAATTTTCATCCATTCATAAAGGCAATTCAATGAAATGTCATAACAAACTTGCAATCATATTAGGGGCTTCAAAACAGCCCCTAACTACTTAAAATTTAGTTACACATAATTCACAAATTAAACCAAAAGTAAAACATGGGTTTGAGAAGATAAAACCAAGAAAATAGAGTGAAGCTTCTTCTTCTTTCCTTCCTTGCTCTCTGCCGTGCCTCTTGCTCTCTGCCTATTCTTCCTCTGCCGTCAGTCTGTGCTTCTCTGTCCTCTGCTTCTGTGATACGTTTTTGTCTCTGTCTACTCTCCTCTTTTATTATTTCCATTCTCTCTTTCTTTTTTTCTGCCTTCCCACTGCTCTTTCTTTTATTCTTCCACTCAGTCCGTGTCCTCCCACTTCTTTATTTTCTGTTTTTCTTTCTCTGCACCTGCTGTCCGTGTCCCCCCATCTGCGTCAGTGCACTCCACTTCCTTTCTTTATTTATGCAGTGCTGCACTCCTCTTTCTGCTTTCTGCTCAGTGTCTTCCCCACTCCCTGCTTATTATTCTTCTTTTCCTTTTCTTATTCCTTCCACTCTTCTTTGTCTACTGTTTTTCTTTTCTTTCTGTCTCAGTGCACTGCCCTCCTTGCCGTGTCTCCCACTCCACTTTTCAGCTATCATTTTTTATTTTTTTATTTTATTTTATTTTATTTATTTCCTTTTCTCCATTTTGCTTGAAATTGATCCTAAAACAAAATTAACTGCACATTAACACAAGGTAAGGTAAAATGCCACAATTTTAACACAAAAACATCACAAAGACTTTAGAAATGGATGGTATAAATGCATGAAATATATGAGTGATCACGTGAACCTCAAGGCTATTTCAGAGCCTTGCGCAATAAGTAGGAACTTCTCTTGAACCGTTGAACGTATGATATATGGCTTTACTTTTGTGAATCTATATTATGTGCATTTTCCCTATTTATGTTATAAACTATCCTAATGGGAACTTGCAGTTGTTGTCTTGTAGATGGGGATTATTGTTGTTTCATATCGTGATTAGGGTTTTTTATTTCTATTTTAATTTCTGATGTTTCATCGGTTTAATGGTATGGTAGTCGAATTCAAAACTTGCTGAACTTTGGATGTGACACAAAGCAACAACATAACATGATGCTAAATAAGTAACCGATCATTTGATGCAACAAAAAATTTGACCTAATTACAAGTAAGTGGATCTCAGTGATGGCCGTTGCCAAATTGGGGATCACGTAAGAAGGTTTATTTTCTTAGTCTCTCATACAAGTGAATTGGATGAATGAAATAGGTTTGAATGCTAAGCTATTTATAGACAACTAAAGGGTACCTTTTTTTCCTATTCTGTTCATCTTGTAGCTGCCGACCCTAGCTATGGCCAGGGTCGGTGGCAGTCATTTTCTTCTCCTTTCCTTTCCTTTCCTTTCCTTCTTTTTCAGTTTCTAGCTTTCCCTGTCCTGTTCGCCACTCTCTTCCAACCCCCTGTGCCCCCACCCCCCACCCCATCTGGCTTCTCTATTTGTAGCCCCTTTTTCCCCTTTTCCTGTTTCCCCATTCCTTCCATTTTCCTTCAACTTTTTTTCCCCGTTTCCTTCCTCCAACTTCCTGGTACCTGTTTCCTTCCTTCTGTCCAATTTCCTTCCACCCTTTTTCCCGTTTTCTCCTTTTCCCCTTTTTTTCTCCTTTTTACCCTTTCCTTCCACCTCCTATCCACCACCTTTTCCCCCTGTTTTCTTTCGTTTCCCCTTCCTTTCACTCTCCATCCCAATCGGCTCCATCTTTCATCATCGACTATGCAATTTAGTTTGGCTTCTACTTCTCTTTACCTTGATTTTTCGCATTTCACCCGGAAGGTGTGTGGAGTTCTGGCTTAGGTGTTCACACCACCTCCTTCGTTGGGTTTGCCTTTGTTGGCACTGTTGCTAGTGGGTTGATTCTTCCCGCTGGCTTCCTTCAATTTGTGGGGCTACTGTTGTGGTCCTCGGTGGTGGTCTTTGGGGCTCTGTTTTGGGGATTTGTGTTCACTCAAGTTTCATCCAGTTTTGGGGCTCTTTTTAGCTTGATTTCAGGTGTGTGTTGGTGACGTTCGTTTAGGTTGGTTGGCTAGCAGATTTCCAGCGGTGAAGTTGGAAGAAGCTGCCAGGGCTTGCTTTGTTGTTTTTTATGTATTGGGCTCAAAATTTTTTTTGGGCTCTTGGCTCACTATAAAGGTACATATTTTTGTTCGTTTTTGTAGTATTTGGCCTTTTTCTTATATAATTATATTGTTGGTAATAAAGTAGCCTTTTACCGAAAGAAAAAAAAAAGAAAAAAGAACCCCCTTGTTGAATGTTGTTGTAAGCCTTGTAAAAGGTATAACACTTTTATTCAAAGGTTGCACCTTATTATGTAGGCCTTTTATCCAAAATGGTCTCTAAGATTGGCATAACTCTTTGCTTTAGTCACTGAGATTTAAAACCGATAGAAGTGATCCTTGAGATTGTCCACTATCAATCATTTTGGTCATTCTGTGAGAAATATTTGTTACATTGGGTATTTTGACAAATCAACACCTCCCCTTGAACTGGTGGTTTCTTTAATTTAATGAAGATTCACAGAATTACCAAAATGATTGACAGTAGACAATCTCAGGGACCACTTCTATTAATTTTATATCTCAGGAACCAAAGTGAGGAGTTATGATAATCTCATAAACTATTTTAACTAAAAAGCCTTCATTGTATGCGGTTTACATAGTGAAGCCACATATATTTTCAATGTGAACCAATGCCACTTTTACTAGCAGGGACGGAGGCAAAATTTTAGTTCAAGGGGTGCCAATACTTTTTTTTTTTTTGGTCAAAGTGGGTGCCAATACTAAGAACGAAAGAAATTCATATGCATCTACTTGAATTGTGGGGAGGCCAGCAACTACTTTTGTTTTAATTAAAAATCTCCTACAATGTCATGAAATTAACCTTGCATTTAGAGGGAGTGGGAGGGGTGGGGGTTGGCCACTAGAGGTGTACATGTCGCTCCACCTCTTTTTATTAGAGTTGCATTGCTTGATCTATAAGTGTATCTTCTCATGTGAAAGACCTATTACATAAAGGGAAATTTTATTTGAACACATACAACCTCTTTTTACACCCAATTTACTCTCTACACCCATATTACTTTTAAAGGTAAATTACACAAAGCTACCTTACCTATGAGTCGAACTACAATTTCATACTCCATGTTTTAAAAATTACAATGCCATACCTCATCTTACAAATTTGTTGCAATATTAGACTTTCACCAATTTTTCTATTAAATGCCGACGTGTCTTAATAGAGGCCCCACTCCCTAGCCCAACTTTTAATTAAATATTAAAAAAAATTAAATAATAATTTTTTTGTAAAAAAAATGTGGGACTATCCCTACAAACTCATCACCCTCACCAAATTACTCTTTGTAACCAAACACTCCCACAATCCTCCTTTTCTCCATCTCCACTCGACACCTCTTTGTTTCCTTCATCATTGTCGTCCCCCGCCGCCTTTGTCCAACTCTTTAACTCTTGCTCTGTTTGCTTTATCTGCTCCATAAGCTTGAAGAAGAGACAGCCAGACTTGGTTCTTTGGCCCATGCGCTTCTTCATGGTGCAATGTCGCTACTGGAGTTTCTCCATCTTGTGGCCTCAATGCGTGGTGAATTTCGACGGCTCGCGGTACTCGTAGTCGCACCTGGCCGCCATGGACATCGCCATCTCTTCCCACTGGCTCAATTTTAGTTGGGCCCTCCTCAGCGCGTGCCACTTCTCCTCGTAGGCCCAGATCAGCTGAACCATCTCCTCTTGGGTCCACTGTAGAGGCTGGGGCTTCTTAGCAGAGGTTCTGGATGAGGCGGAGACTGAGGCCATGGGTGATGACTGTGGTGGTGAGGACATTGTTGTGGGGATGATTAGAGCTAAGATTTGAAATTTAGGGTTAGGGTTTGGGGGAATTGGGGTTTTCTGAAATTGGCATGGAGATTTAGGGAGTGTTTGGTTACATAGATTAATTTGGTGAGGGTAGGGGTGGAAAAAATTCCCAAAAATCCCGAACCGAACCGAAAAAATTCCGATCCCAAACCAAAAATTTCCCAAACCGGATTTCCCAAAATTTTTTAGATGTTATCCCGAACCGATCCCGAAATTTCGGTACGGGATTCGGGATTGGCTTCTCGATATTTCGAGAATCGCATACCGAACTGAAAATATATAATACTTAAAAAAAAATGTAAAATTTTGAAAAAATGAAAAACATTTTCTTTTTCTTTGAATCTTGTTCTTTTTGGCTACTTTCCAATTCACTGATAAGATTTGGTCTTTATTTTCTCATAATTTTCAAGAAATTTAAGTTTGACATTAGTTCTTTTCATTATCTTTGTTTTAA